AAAAAAAAAAAAAAAAAAAAGAAAGAGCTCTGCCCTGCTGCAGGTGGAGTGGTCAGCAGACAGCCTACAGCTGTTAACTCCTTTAAGTTTCTCTCAGCTTTTGGGTGGAGCTGGGTGGCCCCAGCAAAAACCGGACAAGGGCCTGGCTATTTCTGCCCAACATGGGACTCTGCTCTGGAGCCCCTCATGGGCTGACAGAGATTCTGTCAGGTTTTCACCATGGTCTGATGGGCCATTCCTGCTTCCTTCTTCCTTGCCCGGATCTTGCTCCCTGATAAACCATTTGTACTCCCAACATCATCTCAGCGTCTGCTTCCCAGAGGATCAATTTAAACAGCCACCTTCTCTCTTTATCACCAATGTTCATCCTTTGTATCATCTTTTGTAACCCAATTAAAAGCCCCAAACTGGGGTCACTCACCTGTTTGTATAGGGCTTTTGTACTTGTAGTGAGTTCAACAGTGTCCCCCAAAATTCATGTTCATTTAAAACCTCAGAACATGACCTTATTTGGAAATAGGGTCTTTGCAGATACATTTAGTTAAGATGAGGCCATACTGGGTTGAGGTGAGCCCTAAATCCAATGACTGGTGTCCTTGTAAGAAGAGGAGAGGACACAGATACACATCCAGAGAGAAGGCCATGTAAAGACGCAGGTGGAGACTGGCTGGCTGCTACAAGCCACAGGATGCCTGGAGTCCCCAGAATCTAGAAGGGTCAAGGAAAGACTCTTCCTTACAGCCTTGAGGCAGCATGTGCTGCTGACACCTTCATTGTGGACTTCTCATTTCTGTTGTTTTAAGCCACTAAGTTTGCGGTCATTTGTTCTAGCAGCCCTAGGGAACTAATATAGTACTTACTAACTCAGTAGTTATATAAATGTCTACTTATTTTAAAAAATGATTTTTCTTTGACCAGTTATCTTCAGCTTTTTATGTGTATTTGTTTCTTTCAAACAGACAATAAGCTCTTTAAAGTGGTAGATTTTGCTGTTCTGAGAGGACTCTCAGCTTTGGGGTATAATATATACTCGAAAGAAATTATTTGGAGGATGGGATAATATTAATAAAATTGGCAGTGTCTGTTCAAGTGAGCAGGTAAGAGAAAGGTGATTCACGTTACTATCACTGCTAATACTAGTTTTCCATTTCAATCACACCTTTCTCTCAAAAAACTGGATATGCTCTGATGACCTACCAGGCTACCCAGCATAAGGTTCAAAATCTTATAAATCACATCTGTATTTT